GTTTAAAAAATCGTCAGGCCATGTTAGCAACCAGGACTAATGATAATGGGAGCCTGACATGACCTGACGACTTTTTAAATCGGGCTTAAAGACTGAAAAGAAAAATGCAGCCGCACGCCACCCATCCCTCATCCTTATCTCCTCGAGGCGCACACGCGGAACCCCCCTATCTCTCACGTGCTCTCTCCCGCCCCCTCCCTCTCACATCCCCCACGAGAAAATGGACATTTAGCCACTTTCAAAAAGCGGTTTCGCTAGAATGCCATTCCGAAAACGCGTTTCGCTAAAATGCCAATATGAAGCGTGCACTCACCACCACTTTGCCATTTTGGCCATTTTGTGCATTTTCAATTGCATTTTCGCTGGAATGTGGCTTGATGGGACCAAATTGCCCTTGCTCACCGGCTAAGAGGGGATCGATCCAGTTCATGGGAGGAAGAGGACGAGCGCGGCGAGGTGGTCCGCGTGGCCGAAATGGAGGAGGTGGCGAGCGAACGCATGGCGGCGGTGGCAATGACGGTGACGTGGGCATGGCGATGCCGCAGCGAAGGGAGATGCACGGCCTCCACGCCACCGCCGACGAAGAAGCTGACGACGGCGACGGCCGGGATGCCGAACCCCCACCCCCACCAGCGTGCCGATGTCGATGGCCGGGATGCTCAACGAGGCAGAGACGAGGTCGTCGAGGTGGAGGACCCGGCGGCGCTTGTAGATGAAGCGGCGGCGGCGGCATCCTCGAGGTCGGGCGGGTGGAGGACCCGACAGTGCTTGTAGACGAAGCCGTCGCAGTTGCAGATCTCCCGCTCCTCGTCGTTGTCGCTGCCGGTGGTGGAGGCATACTACGATCCGTGTGCTCTCTCTCCTCTCTCCTCTCTCTCTTTCTCGCTGAGATTGATTTCGCTTGCCGTGGTGGCTGGGCTCTGATCCGTCGATCCGTGCGCTTGCCGGAGGAGGAGGAGGAGGAGGATTTGGGGTGTGTGTGTCCACGGTGGTGGCGTGCGGCGGGATGATGCCGGCGTGGCACGGGTTCAGGAAAGGGAAGGCGACGGCGGTGGAGGAGGAGGAGGTGAACGGGTTCTTCGTGGAGGAGGAGGTGGGGGCGGTGTCGAACGCGTCGTCGATCGGGGTGGCATCGTCGGACAGCTCGACGGGAGAACTCGTCATCGGAGAAGGAGGGGCATTCTCGTCTCTTCAAGCCACTTTCCAGAGAAAATGATATCCAAAATGGTGAAAATGGAGAAAATGGCAAAGTAGCTGTGATGGCACGCTCCATATTGGTATTTTAGCGAAACATGTTTTCGGGATGGCATTCTAGCGAAACCATGTTTTCAAAGTGGCAAAATGTCCATTTTCTTCCTCCCCCAACCCTCCTCCTCTCCCTCCGCCCCCTCCGCCTCCCTCACCGGCGGCGCTTGCCCCCTCTACCTCTCCCTCTCGCCTTCCTCCCGCGGTGGATTTGGCGGCGGTGGTGACGGTGGCGGCTGCGGGCGGATCCGGCCGGATCCGGGCCGCGGCGGGTACCAGCAGCCGCAGCAAGCAGATGGTGGCGCACGGTAGGGAGAAGAAGAAGAGGAGGAGGAGGAGGAGGAGGAGGAGGAGAAGTGGTGGAGAGGATGAGGCGAAGGGGCGGCCGGCTGTGGTGGTGGCGGAGTAGATGTTGCTGCTCATGATTTGTGATTGTGTTCATGAGGCGATTGTGTTTATGATTTATGATTTTGATTTGTTTTTCATGATTGTGTTCATGGATGATATCTCATGGGTGAAGTGATGATTAATGTGTTCTTGGATGAATGGATGATGGTACGTGAATCTGTGATCTACAATGTATTTGTTTTTGAGAATTTGTGATGTATTTGATCTGCATATTAATATGTGATCTTATCTATGAATTTTTGATTTGAAGAAATCAATATGCAAGCAGTAAAAAATAAAACCTTTAGTCCCAGTTGGTAACTCCAACCAAGACTAAAGATGGTAGAGCTCTTTAGTCCCGATTATTTTAACCGAGACTAAAGATACCCATATTTAGTCCCGGATTCGGAGTCCCAGTTTGCAACCTAACACTAAAGAGGCTTTCCCCAGTAGTGAAATATTTTAAAGAAATACGCAGTAGGAAAACAAGAGGACTCTAATATATACTTCGGATAACTATTTAGAAAAGAACTAGGACTAAATTATGACTTTTTCATATAATTAGGACTAAATAACCACGTTAAGATTTTCTACACGCTAAAAATCTCTCCTATGGAGTCATAGTAACTGTGCTGTCTTTTCTAATACTTCCTTTGTCTTAAAATATATTAAGAGATTTGGATTGGATGGGACACATTCTAGTAGTACGAAACACACATAATACTAGGATGTGCCCTATCCAACCCAAACACTTATATTTTGAGACAAGGGAATATATTAATATAATAGGAATACATATAATGGCGGGAGGTGTAAAAGGAAAAAAACCTTTCTAATGAAAAAATGGTGGTGTATATATAGGGAGATCCGCGAAAGGAAGACATTAGGAGTTTTCATTTCCTACAATTACGATTAGAAAAGGGTCAATGTAGATGGAATTCCTCTAGAAGGGGTTAACATATCCACAAAAGAATAGTCGAATTAAGGATATCTATTAGCATTATTTTAAAGATTTATTGGCCGTAATAGTCTACCTCTAGAATCCCATTAGTCCAGCTCTCACGTGGTGCTAGCTGAATTAATTATTAATTACTCCCTGTTGTGTTTACATGGAGTTAATATATATCCACAACAAAAAGTCGAATTAATGACATCAATTGGTATTATGCTTAATATCAGTCTATGAATAATTGAGGATTATTAATTTGCCCAGAATAACGAAAGAAAACACATGGAAGATTAATATAATATAGTAGTATAATGTTGGTTGAACAGGACAACACGACTTCTTTCTTAAACATGTTTTGTTCTTTATTAATTGCTCTAATAAAGTACGTACATGCATCCGATAAACTACAAAAGTTGACTTCATTATCGTTATTTATTCAGCCCAAGTTCCACAGGAAATTAAGAGTAGGATTTACATAATTAAGAAGCGAGCAGACAAGCCATGCACATCAGCGAAAACTACCAACCACCAAACAGTGATACTGACCATACATGTATGTGTCTTGGGATTAATTAATTAAGCAATCTTCCATGTGCTAAAATATGATTGATTGTTTACGCACATTTTCTTTTCATCTACATATAATTGATTAAGGGTGCTATTTTTTTTTACCCAATATGACCTCTCTAAACTGTGAGAACAAATTAGTACTTTGGTTATTTTTATTACTTCTAATAATTAACTACTGTTTTACCTATAAAATTTAAATTGCTGGGCAAAGCCCTAGCAGTATTCCTGGTAAAAAAATTAATTAATGTTTTACACTCTTCACACGCTAAGAAGAGATCGATTAAGTAATTATTAATGTGTCAGCAATTGCAGTAGACTGCAATAGGAAAAAAAAAGAGAAAAGTCTAGTTAACTTCCTGATGAAATATGAAAACCACGTATATTACTTTCATTAATTAAGTATGAAAACAAGTTCAAACAAATGGTTGTGGAGGTGGTTTAATTTTCCACATTATGGCTTATTATCTTTGCTTCAAACCTTAATTACCGTACATCTTTCTTTGTATATTTAGTGGTATGCCTCTTGATTGACATTATAGTTAGTTTGTCTTTAAAATTTGTATAAGTTCATTGAATTTAACTTTTTTTTTTAGGAAATCAACAAGTTAGAATATTCTACGCCCAATCTTTATCCATCGTGATGGAAACAACACAAGACAACGATAGATAGATGCTGGGTCAAGATTCAAAGGCTCGAAAACTCTCCAAAGAGTGACGTAATTAATTTCATCCAAATAGCTAGCTGGAAGGCATTTTGGCTGCGGATTATAAGCTGAATTGAAGTCCGAAGGCACAGTACCGATGCATCGGAAAACAATTATATAGAAAAACTTACTCTTAGCAGTAAAAACTTCCTTAAATTAATTATAAAATCTAGTTGTAAAATACAAGATCCCAATAACCAACACTACATAACATAACTCTGCATCCAAATTCATCACACAAATGTGGCTTTCAACTTTAATTGCCCTTCTAATTAAGTAGCATAATTAGTACTACACAACAATAATGTAATTAACATCTCTCTCTTGTCCATCGATCTAGCTAAGAAAAAAAAAATATTCCAAGTGTGAAAGCAAAGGATATGATGGGGCAGGTGTATATATATTCAGCACGTGGTGTGGCAACACATGGAATTTCTTTTTCTCCTCCTCTTCACTTCAACCATACTCCATACACACACATAAATATATGCATATATTCTAGTCTCAGTTTTACCAAATCTTTATTTTTTTCTCTCTCTCTCTCTCTTTGATATATATATTTCCACAACGTTTAATTCCCCTCTATGCAACTGTGATAGGCACCTGCACTTGGGCTCATCCCTTCACCTAACCCCATTAGAGCAAAATCCCCACATGCTCTTTTATCATTCAACATGTCTGTCTGTCTGTTTGTTTGTCTACGCATATGCATTGCTAGTACTAGTAGTGGTCATATAACTAGAAACTGAACCCATGAACTTTCCAATTGATTGATGATGGAAATGGAGCTCACATCAGAGAGAGGCTGACTGCAATATTTCAGGCAGCAAAAAGCTAAGCATCAAATCCCACCTAACGGTGTGTGTAGTGGGGTGTGTGCGTTAAAAGGTGATGCCAACTTTGATTTTCAGTAAATCGGTGAACATCTCTATCCGTTCATGATTTAACCGTCCGGAATGTGTGTGAATTCCAGTTAATGTAGTATGTGTATGATGTGTTTTTCGTGATTAGTTTCAAGCAGGTGATAACAATGCATATGTATGCGAGTCGAGATGAGGCATTATAGTACAATTTGATAATAAGATGAATCGGGCGTAAAAATGCCGAAAGAGCCGCATAAAGGGGTTTATAAGTTGGCATAGGGGTAGAGCAGCACGACCGGTGTGGTGTCGCTAACATGGTTTCGGATCATAGTTACAGTGATCAACCAGACACTTATTTAACAAGCTACGGCATCTCGTCTGACAATTAATTGATGTGCGGCAAACCGTAGCCGCAAACAAACCAAACAGATCCTTAATTGAAAAAAAAAAGAAAAGAAAAAAAACGTGGCCGGATCGGCACAACAAACGAAGCTGCTTGTGCAGCAGGGAAGATACCTTGAAAAGCACCACCCAATGTTTACCTTGGATCTATCAAGGATCTCAATGAAACATGGTGTGTGTATCTCTTTAATTTCATATGATGGTCATATGATACAGAGTGTGTACAGTGCTTAGCTGTAAGCTGCAGTGTAAGCTTAGCACAGTTGTATAGTATATTAATTAATTAATTAATTAATTAATCCTTTGTTTTGTTGTACTTACACGTGGGTTAACTACTGGTCAATTCCCCTCCTGTGCCATTGGCCGCCGTCGACGTCGCCGGCGCCGGCGTTCTCCGCCGCACCGTCACGTTGAGGCCGCCGGCCATGTGAGCCGTCATGAGCGGCACGAACGCCGGCGTGCGGCCCTCGTCGACGGGGCGGAGCTCGAAGCGGCGGAGCACGGCGCTGGCGACGAACTTCATCTGGACGAACGCCATCTCCTTGCCGAGGCACGTCCTCGGCCCGCCCTGGAACACCGGGTACTTGAACGGCGACACGCCGGCGAACGCAGCGGCGGCTGGCGAGGCGGCGGCGGCGCCGTCGCCGCCGCCGCGCGGGAGGGAGAGCCACCTGTCGAGGCTGAAGTCGGCGGCGTCGGCGCCCCAGATGGCCTCCATCCTCCCCATCCCGTACTGGAAGTAGGTGACGCGGTCGCCGCGCCCCACCGCCGTGCCGTCGGGGAGCACGTCGTCCGCCGCCGCATGCTTCGAGTCCCACGCCACCGGCGGGTACAGCCGCATCGTCTCGCACAGCGCCGCGTGGAGGACGCGCATCCTCCGGTAGTCGTCGAGGTCGAGCCCCTCGCCCTCGCCGTCGTCTCCGCCTTCTTCCCCCGCGCCGCGGGCGCGGCGCGTCGCGGCGATCTCGTCGAGCACCTGGGCCTCGACGCCGCGGTGGCGCATGAGGAGCCAGAAGAACCAGGTGAGCGCCGACGAGGTGGTGTCGCGGCCGGCCATGATGAAGCTGATCACCATGTCGCGGATCGCCTCGTCGGGGTACCCGCATTCGATCATCCGCGACAGCAGGTCGCTCCTCGCGCCGCCGCCGCCGCCGACGCCATTGCCGTTGACCAGGAGGAGCGCGCGCTCCTTCCTCCGGCTCCGGATGAGCCCCATCACGGCCTCATGGATCACCCCGACCTCCTCCCTCAGCCGCCGCTCCGACCCGGCGTCGAGCGCGCGCTTCACCTTCCACACGGCGGCCACGGGCGCCGCGCCTCGCCGGGCGATGATCCCCGCCGCCGTGTCGAACGCCGCGGCCAGCCTCGGCGCCGGCAATGCCGGGTCGAGGCATCCCGGGTCAACGCCGAGCGAGACCCGGCAGATGACGTCGAACGCGAACCGCCGGAGCACGTCCTGCATGTCCACCACCCCGCCGCCGCGCGACGCCGCGGCGAGCGCCGGGACGAGGCGGTCCCGCGCCTCGGCCTCGAGCACGGTGACCTCGAGGTCCCGGAGCGCGCGCGCGGAGAACTCGTGGCTGACGAGCTTGCGCTGGGCGTGCCAGAGCTCGCCGTCGACGTTGAAGATGCCCATGCCGAGCAGGTCGCCGAGCACGTCGGTGAACGGCTTCCCCTTGGGGTAGTTGGCGAACCTCGCCCGGAGGATGTGCTCGACGTTCGCCGGGTTCGCCGTCACCACCGTGCGCCGCGCGCCCAGCCGGTCAACGACGATCGTCTGCGACGGCGACGCCGCCAGCATCTCCGTGTACCAGTCCAGCAGCCGCCGCCGGTTGCGGTAGAACGCCACCAGGCACCCGATCACCGGGTAGCTCCTCGGCCCCCACCCGCCATGGCCGCAAGAAGATCCACAGGACGATGAAGCTGACCTACTAAGCCTCATCGAGCTCACCATCACCACCACAAGGAGGCAGCTCCAAGCCGCGACGAACCACGCCATGAAGCAAATCATGCTTCTCCTCTCTCTCGATCCCTCTACTACTCTAATATACTATATTACTAATAATGAAATTAATTTTGGTGTTAGAATTTCGAAGATGAGGTAGACGAAGACGAAGGCGAAGGCGAAGCATGGGGGGAGATGGAGGTATGGACTGTTGGGATGCATATATGCTTGTGTGTTTGTGTGTATATATATATGTGAGTGTGTGCATATATGGGGAAGGTCGGCAGGGAGGGCGCCATTGGAGGCTCTCCATGCCTGCGGCTGCTCATCTTGGGAGGGTCATTGTTAATGCACGTTTTATTTGCTGATGAGGAGGGAGGGGGAAGGGGCCTAGTCAGTCATGGGCAAATTATAAGGCTCTGTGTTTGATGTGGTGTGGTTTCTCCATCGGGGCGTTTTGACAAACCGCTTTAATTTCCGCGCCTTTTGTGTTTTGATTTCGGGCCTGTTTGGTAGAGCTATAACTTCTAAATTTAATTTCAGGAGTTGAGTTTTGAAGTAGAGTTGTGGAGCAGCCTAAACCCAGCTCAACCTCTCTAATTCATTTTGTGATATTGCTCCACCTAGCTCTGTTTCCATTTTAGATAGAGCTGAGCTGAAACTGTTTGACTGAGCTCCAGGCCTAGGAGAAGTGGAGCTGGAGCTAGAGCTGTGCCGAATAGGCCCTTAGGTCCCGTTTGAATATGATGAATATGATTAAGTGATTCATAAACGTGTGATTAATTGAGTTTTAACTATTATATGCTCGAAATTTGATTTAACTGATATTTTAAAATAACCTTTTTATAGAAAGTTTTTGCATAATTTGAAAAGCGTGCTAACGGAAATTGAGAAAAAGTATGTATCTTAATCAAGTTAAAACAGGGCCTTAGGGGCGATGATCGGGGTTTTTGCGATGCAGTATAAACTTCTTTTTCTTTCATTTGCGTAGTACCATGGATTGAGAATTGGTCTTGTGGTGTTCCATTGTAAAATTTAACATGTGGGAGACAAGTGAGAAGCATGAGCCAAGAAAGACTTACATTTAGGCTCGTACGAGCACCTGGTATTTTCTGTTAACTGTTAATTACTTATGTTTTTATTTTGGTCCTCTAGGTTTCGCTTTGGAATCAATTTGGTCCCTGATGTTTCATTTTTATCTAAATTTGTTCTCCAAGTTCGTCTTGTGGTTCAAATATGGTCCTCCGGCCTACTTGAAACTAGGGTTGGGCAAGAAATTACCGAAAACCGGACACCGAACCGAACCGCACCGAAGTGGCGGTTATTGCGGTCTATGGTTTTTCCATCGGTTTTCGTAGTTCGGTGTTCAGTCATCGCGTCGGTTTCTTCAAAAGAATAAATCGGTCCACCGAGAAAACCGAGGAAGGGACAGTCCAAGGTAATACAAGGCCCAACTCACCCCTTCCATCTAGCCCAAGAGATAGCATAACTTTATCCAACCCTAGCGCCACCCAGTGAGCTCGTCCTAGGCTCCTCGACCCTCGCAGACGACCAGCCAGACGGCGCAGCCAACCATGGCAGTGGCAGTCAATTCCGAGATATCGATCAGTTCCTCCTTCATAGGCCAGCAGGTGCTAATCTTGGATTCCTGGTTAGTCTTCGATTCTCTAACATCTTGCTGCCATCTTGCTGTTGTTCTGGTTCAATGGCCTATGGTGATTAAGCCCATGTACACGAATACTCTTAATTTCCCCTAAGATGGATGATGGAACTTCTTTTTATAGAGTAAATTTCACAAAACTACATATACTTCGATCAAATTATCACAAAACTATAGATTTAACATGATGTATCACAAAACTATAGATTTAAAACTAATTTTATCACAAAACTACATATTTAAGGTAAAATATCATAAAATTATAAATTTAATAACAAAGTTATCACAAACTATAGGTTTAATATCAATTAATTATAAAACTTGGACATTTACAACTCAAAACATAACATTAGTGCAAAGGATTTAAACCCCAAAATATGTAGTTTTGTGATAGTTTTATTATTAAATATGTAGTTTTGTGATAATTAGTCTTAAACATGTAGTTTTGTGTTAAATTTGTTACTAAATCTGTAGTTCTGGGATATATGACCTTAAATCTGTAGTTTTGTGATAATTTAGTCAAAGTATGTGTAGTTTTATGAAATTTACTCTTTTTTATATGTTGTTGATTCCTGATTATTGTTGGTAGTGGGATGAACTGATGGAGTGGTCAAAATCAAGTTCGGTATAAACCGAACCCGAAAGAACCGCACCGAATTAATTCGGTTTAAAAAGGTTCGGTTTTAATTTTTCTGGGAGGAATTTTGGCTAGTAATTATGTGAAACCAATCTTCTACTAAACCGAACAAACCGAACCGATAAAACCGGAAAAACTGAACACCCACCCCTACTTGAAACACCATATAGTGGACTTGCTACCATAGTAAACTACTAGCCTTTACGACAAGATTCATGGGAAATTGTCTATATTTACTCTTATGTGTACAATAACACATGAAAATCAGATACATAGAGAAAAGGGCGTCTTATTACCTTAAAGTTGACCAAGTCCAGTAGACATGCCACTCATGAGGTTGTGTACCTTATTCTCATGTGTGCACAACATGGTTATACCGTTTCTAATTTATTCATACACTACTTGACTTACATAAATAAATACATATCGGTCACAACAAACTTCTATGTAAGGCACCCTTTTATATCATGAAATGTATATGGCCCAAGGAGGTCATAAGGTTCTGTTCAGTTATGTTGGTAAAAGTATAGTGACATCTTTCACAATTTTCATACCTCAGATGGGTATTAAGCTAGGCCATACAGTTTGAAAAAAAAATAGAAGAACCATACTGAAAAATATTGTTTTAAAATTGTCAAGTTTGTGGGTTTGTTTTTGTGTCATGAGCTTGATCCACCCTCATAATGTCTCTGTGACCAAGTCATAATGGATATTTCATTGTTTAAGATCTAAATTTTCTATACATATTGTGGATGCCTTATATATATCAGGTAACGGGATCGACAAACTTGGAAGAGACTGTTGAACAAAATAATAAAATCTTTCAGACATCAAATTGATCCATAAGTACTATGTATGATATCAAATTGACCATGGAGTGAAACTCTGGGGAACAAATTTTATAGAATTCAAAGCTAATACTACTCTCTCTGTCCCAAAAAACATAACCTAGACAAGGATGTGACATCTCCTAGTACAATGAATTTGGATAGCCCTTTATTCAGATTCGTTATACTAGAAAATGTCACATCCCCTTCTAGCTTTAATTTTTTTGGACGGAGGGAGTACTATATACAAGGAAGATTAGTGCCGTGCCAACCCATTTCAAGGAATAAACTCAAGTAAAGTTTGCAAACTTTCTCAAGTATATTTCATAAAAATGTATAGTTGTAGAGACGTTGATGAATGAATGATACTAATATAAAAGTCTACAAATAAATTCAAAATCTTCAAATATATTTGCAAGATGTATAAAACACAAAGAGATCAAGTTTGTTTTCCACATTTCATCAATCAAGTTTATATTAAGATTTCCATGGTCCTGAAACATCTTTTTCTACATTTAATATTAGTTGTTTTCAAATGTTCTCTAGAAAAAACTCTTGAAAGAACATCTGAGCATGTGGAGAGAAGGGGAGGAGTGCTCCATCCAAACCTTCGTTTTTTGGTGCTTGCCTATCAATGATAACTGGAGTAGGACATCTTTTACCATGCTTTAGATAGATGTGATGTTCTGGTAATTTATTTTAGTTATTAAATACATGTTGTTTTTTTGTTTTTATCGTGTCATTTTCCACGATATCTTCTGATGATTGCTTATTGATGTGGAGATCCTACAGAGCAAAATGCCATCACAAGGACTACTAAACAGGAAGTAAATTGCAACACCAGTGGGTAAATCTTTTGATATGACTTCATCTTTGTCCCATAACAAAGAATTAAACAATATCATTAAAAGTCACCTTCTAAGAAGCAGAGCCCCAACAATTTGTTTACCTTTTTTTGCTTGACCCAAAATTTAGGTGTGTTGTGCTCATGAATCAATGAATGAATGAATGAATAGTCTCCCTTCTGTTTTCTGATCATTAGGTAGCTGTCCTTCCTTGATCAGCAGCTACTACTACTCTCTCCGTTACACAAAACTTCATTTTTATTTTTTTCCCATTTTTATTTTTTTCCCAATGTTTGGCCATTCGTCTTATTTAAAAAATATATAATTTTATTTTAAAAATTAGTTATGCATAAAATCCTATTTATATTTTATCATCTAATAATAATAAAAATATTAAGAAAATTTTTAAATAAGACGAAGAGCCAAACGTTGTACTCCTATATTCAAAAACTGAAAAATAGAGTTTTGTGACACTGAGGGAGTACTACTACAGCTTTCTTCTTTTAATGCCATTCTTCAACTGTCCTTATGGGGGGAGGCTCTCATGCACAATGGTGATTGGGTTGGATTGGATTGGATTAATTTCAGTGCCAACGGTGACTGCATCATCAGATTCCAGCTGCAGGGAGGAGGTGCCTGTCAGGGCATCTTTCTGTTTTAAATTCATGGCTTGGGCAGCTCAACTTCATCTTCCACGCACGCATATGTACTTGTTTCTTTAAAATATATTCTGATCTCACCTCATGTCTAAAGATTTTTCTTCTGATCTCATCACCTCATGCGTGCCTAAAAATTATATATGAGTAAATATTATAATATTAGAGCTAGTAGTAAAATATTTGAGATCACATCACAGAGTGACTTGTATTGTGCTAATAATAATACTATGGTGCTACTCCATCCTAAAATAAATATATTAGTACAAATTTGTAGTACTATCTCCGTCCAAAAAGACTATAGTTTTGTACTGTTTATATCCAACATTTGGTCGTTTGTTTTATTTAAAAAATTTTAATGATTAGTATTTTTATTGTTTAGTGATAAACCATGAATAGTACTTTATATGTGACTATTTTTTTAAAAAAATTCTTCATATTTTTTTTAAATAAGATAGACGGTCAAACGTCGGATACAGAAGCCCACAACTGTATTTAAATTGGGTCGGAGGTAGTACTATATTATGTCTAATCGAGTATTAGTTTACTATATTGTGGGACGAAGAGAGAGTATGACTGTAGGTTAGTGATGAGGGTGTTCCTTGTTCGTGTATATCCCCACCTCAGATAGCACAATATATAAGTAAAAACTTGCACACATCGTAATGTAATCAAACTTAAGACAAAAAAATATTGCAACATATATACTGTAGTATGTTAGGAGAAACAGAAACAATGCAACTATG